TTTTTTGTTTTTCCTTAATTTCTTTAGTACAGATCTTGTCAGGCTGGGACAAGATAAAAATCACTATATCTGGGTGTTCCTTTCAAAGGAAGATATATATATATATATATATGTATCAAAGTACCTGGTGAAATGTCTTTATTTTAAACCACAACAGTTTTCTAAAAAAAAAAAAATTAAGAGAAATTTCAGAGAAATAAATGATATAAGTAAATCACATAAAGTTGTCCTTTTTGATTTTATGTAGCCTCCATATGGCATCTCTGAGAGAGAGAAAGAGAGAATAGGAGGAAGGAAGCTGATTTGCGGTTTTAAATGAACTTTAAACTTGAAAAATTGCATTTAATAATGTTTGTGAAAATAACATCGATATATGTAGCCAGATATCTGGTTTTAATAGGATGATTCGGGAGTTTCTGTCTACTTACTGCAGGCTTGTTGCTGCCAAACTCCTCTGTTCGTCGCATCCTCCTAAAATTCATGAATCTCAACTAAACGAGCCCAAAAAGTTGGTTGCTAAGACATGGTAACTGTTTGTTTGAAATTGTGTTTGTTCTAGTTGGGATAGGAGGAGTTTCTATCTTAAAAAAAAAAAAAATCCTTTGGAGGTCAGAAGGTGACACTTTGGAGGACACAGCATCTAGAGAGTATAGGACAGTGAGAAAGCGGAGTCAGTTTTCCCTGTCCTGGGAAGCCCTCTGCTCAGTACTGAGCACTTGACATCCCCCCCCCCCAACCCTGCATCCTCCTTTAAGGCTTCTAAGTCACAAGGAACTGCACACAGCTCAACCTTGTTGCTAAAAATGAAAAGAAAGCCCATGTTTGCAAAGACTACCCTCCCAGATCCCTTCTTGGCTAGAAGGAGGTTTCCAGTGCTCCCAGCAGCAGGGTACCAGATGTGGGAGTAACATCCACTTAAGGTTCCCTCACCACAGAGGGCAGCGACCCCAGGGATAAGAAATGGGCAGAGGGAGAAGGGCTAGTAGTGTTATTTGCTTTACCTTCCCCCACGTGCCTGTTACACCAGCTCCCATAATGGGGCCCATTATTGATAGCATCTCCTGGACTCTTGTTGGGTATGGCCCCAGAACACAGTAGTGTCAGGTGGGAGGGAACATGGGTCATGGGACTCAAATGGGTGGCTAGCAAGGCAGAGAGGAGCTAGGGAGAGGAAAGGAGGTATGCTTACATAGAAAAGTCTTGAACCACTTGTTTTAGAGGTAAGCTGAAGGATTGTTTGCTTGATCTGTATTCTTTTCATTTTCTCCAAGTCGATGTCTTATTTTGGATTTTTCACTTTGGAGAAAGAACACTGTGGGATGAGGAGGAGAAAAAAAAATGTAGCTCTCAGTAGCCCAGTCCTAGGAAGCAATGTGACCCAATACTCTTTATACAGACCCACGAAGTTAGATAAATACATATCTAAGAGTGATTCCTGAAAGTGTGAAAAGAAAACTTACTCCTGAGGTAAATTGGATTGAGTCACTCTGTTAACACAGGACGGGGCTTCCTGAGGGTGGGTAGTAATTGCTAACTTCTCAGGGCAGAGTTACTGAGAAACCATCTGGAGATACAAAGAACATAGTATATGTTCTAAATGAGAGCCCTAAATTAAGCAGAATAACAATTTTGTTCACCTAATTCAAGTTATTTCCAAAGATTTCTGTTAAAATGTTTTTTCCATAAATTGTATAGAAAGAGAAGTCAAAAGCATATCTTTCAAACTGGGATGATGGGGTGATCACTCATAAGTAGAATTCCAAATAAGACAAACTCAAAATTTCTTTAAAGTGAAAAATGAGGGAGTCAGAGGAAAGGAAGAGAGTATTTTCCAAGTTAGAGCCTATTATTTTTGTGAATATGATATTTTCAGAAACATAACCTAAATGCAGAATTCCCAAACTCCCCCCAAAAGTTTATGTTGAAAACAAGACTAGTCTATACTACGTGGTGAAAGGAATTCCATTCTGTTCTCTACTGGAAGCTGAAAAATAAAGTCCTTTTCCATTAGTAACCTGTTATTTCAACGTTTAATAATATTGCTATTACCTCGAGTGGTTTAAAAACAAAAGTTGGAGTGCCAAAATAAACTTGAATGATATTTTGGAATTAACATCCCTACAGACCTTAACGTTGTGCACCGTTTAGTTCCTCTAAACAAGTCAAACGACTGAAATCACAGCATTTATTTGTGATATTAATGTCTTCTTCATCCCCCATTATTTAAACAGATGTGAGCGTAGGAAAGTGCGTGGTTTTCCTGTTCCATTTCCCATCCTCTGAAGGAAAAGACCAGATAAACTTCTGGATTCCTCAATGATTCCATTCAGATGTTCCCTGTAGAAAGCCTGAATGATTTCTCTGTGTCCCCTCCATTTCCAAGTTGTTTAGAAAGAGAGAGAAAAACAGAATAAAAGGAATTATTATTCTAACCTGGCATTATAAGCAATGTCACATGTTCTTAAAGAATTATTTGTGTAGTGAAGGGATAATAAAACGTGGCATAGGGAAGAAAGGAAATACAGCCGGGAGGCCCTGCTGCTGACTGTGCGGAACAATAGGCAGCCTCTAAGGATTCTTGCCTGAAGTCCTGGCTCTGCCATCAAATCACGGTATGCCTTTGGGTAAGTCACTTAACCTTTCTGGGTCTCAGTTTCCCCATGGGCAGAATGGCAGTTATTATAATAGCCCTCCTACTAGTATTTCCCAAAGAACAATGATTACAATGAATGCGAATCATCTTGTGTGTGTTGAAAATGACATACCAGTGCTGAGAAATAGCATAAGCTGGTAGTTCACTGTATACTTTTCCAGAAACAGACAAATATTGCCCACATGGAAGATAACAGGCCTTAGGGCCCACCATGAGAATCAGAACCCAGAGAATCCTTCACAAAGAATTCATGCTGAGTCAACTGGGCCAAAATGGTCAAGTGGGAAAGAACAGTTAACTCCCTTAAAAAAAAATTTCAAATTATTGTCAAAAGTGACGTTGCTATGACAAACCACATGATATACTTAGTATTAGTCTAAAACAGTTATAGAAATATTGGATGGATATTCCATATTTTCCATGTGGATGGTAGGTGTACAACTTAGAAAAATATATTTTGTATTTTAAAAAACAAGCAGGATGTTTAGCATTTATGATGCATCTGACCAAAGACAGTTTCACACATAGTCTTTAAAGGGGATGGGAGGACATGTAACTCAATATATCTATAATGCTTTACTTTCTTTTGGACCCAAGCTAACTAAGGTCTTTATTTTTACCATATTTTTAAGAAGTCGGAAAATATTTGACATACAACAACCTGTACTTTTGCAAAAGTTTTACCTTTGAAGAAGCAAAATGCTCAGATTTAAAGACAAGCAATGAAAATTATATTTAAAGGCACATTTAAAGTCATGTGTTTTTATATAAAATCTCAGCAGTGAGAAAAAGGACAAATGGAGAGCATATAACAGTGAAAGTTTAGTAGCCCACATATAGACAGAATTATCAGGAATTAATAAATAAAGATGAATAATTCAATAGGAAGAAAAGCACAGTTGACATGACTATCTGATCCTCGGATGAAAATGTATTTAACCTCTAATAAACTAACATTGAAATAACCTATGCCATGCATGGGGCAGTAGATGAATACATTGATTCTTTACTTTCTGAAGAGATTACCAGAAGAAACTATAATACTCCAGTTAAAGTGCTATTGCTTTACTCCAGCAATTTTGCTTCTTGGCGTTTGAGGTTTTTAAAAAAAAATCATCATCATCATCATCCATCATTGTATCATAAGATTTAACTAGAAAGGTGATTATTACATCATTGCCTTTTGTATTGTACAAACAGAAGCAATTCTAAATGTGCAACCATGGCGCCATTGGATAAATAAACCATGTATGTGCATAAAACACATTGTTACATTGCAAATAGAAAAGGATGCTGTGAAATAGAAGAATTTAAAAATGGAAAGAGAATATTCAAAAGGTGTTAGATGCAAAAGTACACAAGAAACAATACACATGTGTGGTTCTATTTTAAACAAAAAAGGAGGAACTATTGGGCATGAAAAGCTAGTCCATGCTTCGCTATAACAAAAACTCAAAAGTTCAGGTGGCTTGCGACAACAAAGGTTTAGTGCTCATTCATGTTCCACTTTGGGGACAGCAGGCAGTTCTGTTCCATATCTCCTCACTCTTGACCCAGAGGTGACACAGTCACGGTTTCAGAACTTGAGAACTGGACGCCCCCCAACAGCAGCCACTTGGCACACTGACTACTTGAAATGGGCTAATGAGAACTGAGATTGCTGTGTTAAAACATACCTGATTGCAAAGACTTTGTCCAAATAATTATAGAAATAACTAAGAGACTGTGCAACGTCTCAATCTTATACTACTGATTTCACTTAAAATGATAATACTTTGAATGTAATAGGTTATAGAAATGCATTATTAAAATTAATATTACCCTGTTTTCTTCGTTTTTGAAGTTAATTCTATCTATTTCTTTTGTTACTTGAAATTTTAAAATAGCACAGTAGCTTACATTTGTGTGAGCCAAAGTCTTTTAGTTTCTTGGCCAATGCAACCGAAAGACCCAGCCAGCACAACTGTAAAGGAGGAAAAGTTTATTTGGGGCCTTGCAGTTTCAGAGATCTTGTCCACAGAAGGCCAGCTCCGTTCCTCAAGGCTCAAGGTGAGGCTGAACACCATGGCGGAGGAGTGTGGCAGAGGGGAGTAGCTCACATGATGATCAGAAGTAAAGGGAGGCTCCACTTGCCAGATACAAATACCCGACAGCCAAGCCTCCAAAGCCCGCCTCCTCCAGCCACACCCCACCTGCCTCCACTTACCACTCTGTTAATGTCAACAAGGGATTAATGCACTGATTGGGTTACGGCTTTAACCAGTCATTTCCCCTCTGAACCCCCTCTCACTCTCTCACATGTGAACTTTTGGGGGACACCTCAGATCCAAAGCATAACACAGTGTCCAGTGAGTCTTGAGCTTGCAACTAAATGGCTGGAGTTAGTCACATGACCCCACCTAATCACTGGAAAGCCCAAAAAAGCAATCCCGAAGTGCTCTCGGAAGGCAGCCAACGGGAAACAGTTGGTGAATAGTTCTAATAAATGCCACAGGGGGGGGGAAAAAAAAAGAAAGGGGAATGGGAGAAAAAGAGAGAGAACACAATTTTTTAAGACTATATTATTTACTTGAGAAACCCTTGGGACTACATCTAAGATTTAAGCAGTCCACCTCAAAAAACAGTGAGTAGATAACATTCAGTAGATAACATTCCTAAACGTTATCTACTCTTTCTGCTCCCTGACAGCTGACGGAGAGAGAAATGCCACATGTATGAAAATACCATGAGCAGAAGGCTGGTAACACGGCTCAGAGGTAGAGCACTTACCTACCCCGTGTGAGGTCGCAGTTCCATCGACAGCGCTGCAGACAACAACAACGAAAGAACACAAAATCTGTGGACAAAAAAAGAAATAAGGCTCAGCAACAATTCCGAGGAAAAAACGAACACACACACACACACTAACACACGCACGCACAAATTTGCAAAAAGTAAAAACTTTGATTTGCTATTGAGCTGCATCTTATCTGTGCAACTCCATGTACTGAGCCCCACGGGTGAGGAGTAACAGGGATTTATTGACTGATCAGTTGATGGATATTTTCCTCCTGAGGGAAGCTGAGGGGTCCGCAAGTGTATGTGTGCACAGATATGTCCATACACATTGACAAACCTGGATTTTACACACTCCAAAAGCTTGGCGTCATTATTGCTGAATGATAAGATTCCCTGTGATTTTTAAATCTTTTCTCTTTGCATATCTTTATTTGCAGATTATTTACAAAAAAAAAAAAAAAACAATGTTCAAAATTACTTGTCATGCCTGTTGCTCAGGACCGAAAATAATATGTAATATGTGGTCATACTGAATTTAACTACAGGAAGAGGTGATAGTAGAGTGTGCTTTCTAGAGGCGGACTGCCTGGGTTCAAAATACTGGCAGCATGACCACCCTTGACCTTCACCTCTCTTGCTAGGTTAATCCACCTGAAAGATGCGGGTCATATCAGTGCCCACCTCGCAGAGTTGTGTGTAAAACTTTAAGGAGATTAGATATGTAAAGAAACACCATCCAAAGAAACCTTTCCTAAATGTTGTCTACTCTTACTGATTTCTAGCCCTCTTTCGGTATTCAATTTTAAAATGAAGATCAGAATCAGCGGAGACCCACTCCAGGCTCCAGCTGATGTTTGGAGAAGCATCATATCCCCTTCATCCTGCTCATTACTTCCCTTTGAAGAACTCTAACTGGGAAATGCACTTATTTCCCTCATGTCAGAACAAGCCATTGATTTGTCAGGAGAAAAGTACAAAGACTTTCACATTTTTGCTGCTCTGTCTCCTGAATTAACACTCCACTTTTGATTTTAAGAGAGCAAAACACCATTTGGTGTTTTAAGAGTGAATAAAATATATAAAAATGAGAATGGCTTTGACTACTTAATATCAATGTGAATGAACCTAAAGAAGTGAAATTCTGTATATTACTGCTTTCACTTTAAATGGTTTTAGCAACCTCAAAATGAATAGACAATTTTGTTTCATTCCCTTCAAAATTACAAATTAATATTTTTAAGAGATGGCGTTAATAAGCATTTGAGTTGAAACGTATTAAAAACTATAAAGGTTTCCTCCATGTGGCTCCGAGTTTTGCTGCATAAAACTGACAGAGTTGTCATAAAAATAGTAATATCATGCAATACTATATTTGTATTCCTCAGTTCAATTGCTTTTTATTTTCTCACTGTAGGCAACTAAGACATGCCTGGGTGAAGTTTCCTAAGAACAAAATAATTAACCCAACATTTATCCAAAATGCTGAACTTCCTTGCCTAATTCTTCAAGTAAATATCCTGCCTTTGATGGGGATGTACAAATGGTTTCAACTTGAGGCTTAAAAAGTTGCCATAAACTATACTGATTAATCAGGAACACCTTGTAATTTGTTGCACTTGAAATGTAGCTACCTAACTTCCTGAATGTTTTAACAACACACCTGTAAATTTGCACAACCGAAACTCTACCTCCCAGAAGTTAAGAGATGGTGCCAACAGTCACAGAAAGTACGAGAAGGATAAATCTCAAAAGCTGTTTCTTTACCCTCTGCACCCCCAAAGTGAAATCAAGAATTAAAACAGATTGTAGATTTGGAGCCCAATTTAAAACAAAAACAAAAACAAAAACTTTAGGCTTTATTGTTTTACTAGTTGATGTTTTTGTTTTTTTTTTTAAATAGAACTTTCTAGTCAAATGTTTTTAGTTCTTTGTCTCTTTTTAATTTTTTTAATATGGGTGGTCTTATTGTAAAATTCTGTTGAGGTAATATATACATGCTTGCTCTAAAATGCAGATATTAAGAGATTTTATTCATAACAGGCTAAATTTGTCTCTTGTGAAAGATTAAAAAAAAACACACTTTAAAGTTGATGAGTCCATGATTTTAAGTAAAAATCCTCATTCAAATGTGATTGCTTTATCAGTTTAACTCTGGTCAGAGTAATTTGTGTTCTTTCTATATATTACTCCAACTATAATAAAACAGTTGATGCAAATGTGAAATTGTTGCTACTGCGGAATATTTCCAACCATGTAAGGTTGTAATGTTAAACTCTCATTCAAGATCAAAATTCCACATATTTGCAACCTGCAAACATCCAAAATTCACACTTCAACATCTGTGCGGCTGCCAACTTCAACTGCAATCTATATCTTGCTTTTGCAGAAATGGAACAGAAAAAAATTTGAAGTAAGTTACATGAAATATTTACCAAATGTTTGCTCGGCGTACATCCTAATAATTGATTACACTTAAAAACTGCACGAAGGACGCAAAACCCCTCTAGTTTACAGGATTTTATAGCAGGCGGTGGCTCATATACTGAAAGCATGCCCAAAACGTACAGCATGCCCAGTTTCAAACGCAAACACTGAGGATTTTTTTCATCTACAATATGTAGTTTCTGTAACTTCCTTTTATGATTTAACAGAGATTTTCTAATAATGTATGTTTCTATATTCTTAGTAAAACTCTTATCTTCTTAGAATCCCTCTCATTGAGGAAATCCAAAGTTTCTATCATATCAATAAGCTAACTTCAAATTAAAGAACTTCAAATTATTGTATTCCATGCTTTTTTCTTAGATCTTTTCTTTTTTTGGTGGGGGGTGGACAGGTACTGAAACTTCCAAAATAATTAGTTATATACTTTCTGCACCCAAATCTCTAGGACTCACCACTGACTGTAAGATTTTTTGTTTTTTCTTTTGTACTGGGGATTGAACTCAGGAGTGCTCGACCACTGAGCCACATCCCCAGCCCTGTTTTATTTTATTTAGAGACAGGGTCTCACTGAGTTGCTTAGCGCCTCACTTTTGCTGAATGCTGGCTTTGAACTCGGGATTCTCCTGCCTCAGCCTCCGAGCCTCTGGGATTACAGGTATGTGCCACCATGTCCAGCTTCCTTAAATCTTTTTAATGTAGTTTAATGGTTTTTGTTTGTTTGTTTGTTTGTTTCTGCACCAGGGAAAATCAATATATGAACCATATTGTGAATGATTAAAACTCACACCCATGTGTCCATGCACAATTCAATTTCTTTTTAGATTGCCTTTATGGCCTCTGTTATTCTGGCCCCTCTGATTTGGGGAGGAAAGAAGGAAAGCAATAAGTATTGCAGGACAGTGGATAAAATGGTAGACTGCTGATGAGTCACTGGCTAGTTTCTGACTCACATGGGTAAAGGAATTACAAGTTGCATAGGAATACTGACACCAGGTCTTCTCTGACAAACACCTGGTCACGCATGTGTCTTATTCCCTTTCAGGACTTACACTGCACTAGCCTCAGTTTCCATAGTTCTGTCCCCTGGAATTCTCTGTTTTCTGGTTCTGTCATTACAGAATGCAGATTGGAGCTTTCTTGTCCAACATCTCATACTTCCCAGTGTGTTTAAAGGACCTCATTCAATTCTGCTGTATAACACGTAATCTTGATTCTTCCAGTAAGTCTCTGTGTTGCCTTTAACCATGTAGCCTCACTGAGCTTGAGTCTGTTTATTTGCAAAACATGAACACATTATAATAATAAATAACATCTTTATTATTATTTGATCATCATTACTTTGTAAATTCCACAGCATCTTTCTGGCTTGGATGAGTCATTTTTGTATGAGTGAGTACAACACAGGTGGGATATTGAGACAAGTACATTACATCTAGATGCAAAAGCTCTGTGTCTTCCAACAAAGTCACAATGAACTTGACTGGGACGTTGAGGGTTGAAGGGTGAAAAGCAGTAGGAATCCGCAGGAGGCTATGCATTTAAGTGTGGAAATTCTTTTCAGGAGTAGAGCATTTATATATCTGATGTGCATTTTTTATTAAGCACCAATTAGATCCAGCTGGGCTCTAATAATACAAAGATTTTTTTAAATGTTTCTATAAGTTAAGAAGCTCAGACTCATAGTATTGGTAAGGGAAAGGGGAGAGATATACATATTTAAAATAAGAGAGTACACATGAAAATAAATGCTGTGATACACATTTTGAGTACGTACTGTCTAAAAGTACAAAAAAAAGGAAGGGAGAAAATAATTTAACTGAAGGAGGTGGTGCAGATTTGGAAAGCCTTAGGAAAAAAGCTATCAGATCTTTAACTAGTATCAACTACTATCATTGATTCAGCCTGCTTCTTACTAAGATAATTATGAAGACCAAAAAGATGAGAATTCATACTTTCACCAACTATAAGTTACAGATAATAAGTCTTCAGCTCTGAGCCATAAAGCCAGGGGTATCGGGGTTTTTAACGACAAAACTATGCCGCCTCTCAGTCTAATAAATGATGGCATTCTGTTCCAGCTAAGCTTATTACACAATTGAGACACTAGGAGAATTATTAAATTAGAAAAAGCATTTTTTCTTCCATGAAATCTGTAAATAAAACAATACAGTGAGCGTTTTTATTGCCAAAAATTTGAGTAATGATTTACTGCATCTTTTAAGAAATTGCCTAAACCATGTGGGGTTTTTTCCCCCCTTTTAATTGGTAAAGACTAATAAGGCACCAAGGGGTAGCTATTATCTGTCACTAAGTTCCCCCTTTACATTCTCTTCCATATAGAATCCTGGAATATTTCTCTGCCAGGTAGTCCCCAAAATGAGTGCACAGATTATGCTCCTTAGGTGTGTATGGAAGAAAAGCCCCAGAAGAAATATTCTAAAAATACAAGATGAAATTTTAGGAATTTTTTTTTCCCCTTTGAACTTTTTTAGATTTACCATGTCATCTACAAAGAACAGCTACTTCTTCAATCCAATCAAAGAAATAGCATGTACAATTGGGATTTTTTTTATTCCACATAATTATGATTTTTCTTTTTAAAAGGGGTAGGGGCAGGGAGCTGCCAAAGTGACAAACAGGAGAAACTGGTGACTGTTGCTTTATGGGACGATTCACTTTCCCAGATTTTCTATAATAAGCTTGACCGTTTCCAAAAGAGACTAACTCTAATGTCATTCACTTATTAAGATCAAGTGTTGATAAGCAACCGTGTTAACAGAGGGGGGAAGCCCAGAGAGGTCTGCCAGCAGAGGAACTGGCCCTGAGATGCAGCTGGTCAGAGAAAGACTTGGGGCTCAGTGGGACTAGAAGTCCTTAGATGAAGGGTAGGAGAGGATGGGGCTGAGACACTCACTGAAGGTCTCCAGCCTGGGACTAGGGTGCCTCTCAGGTGACAGCTGCCTCCAAAAGGCAGCGAAGCTTGAATTTAAAAAAAAAAAAAATTCAAAATTGGAATCTGGAACTCGCCAAGGGATGGACAAACCTTGTGTGACCGTGAACTGGGTCCAAATCAGTGGTGACACTCCCAGCGTCTCCTGTAAATGACAGGGAAGAGTCCTGTCATTCCAGCTCCTTCTCCCAGAAGGTTCAGCCCCCTCTCTTTTTCAGGAAGATAATTTCAGAATTTCGTTGGCAAATGTATTTATGGTGTTTTTTTTTTTTCAGTCGAAGAAATAGCTCATTTCACTTAAGTGAAAGGCCGCTTAGTCTCAACTCACCTGAATTCACACAACAGTCTGTAATTGAAAACTTCTCTGTCGCCTGGTAGGAACTGGACTTCCTGAGGGTTGTGCCAGGAGCGATTGGCCCCAGACAGGACGAGAATTCCAGAGTGCCCTTTATTACTGGGTTTCAGTATTTTCCATCTCCAGCCCTGGTAAATACAGGGCTATGAGAGGAGGAAAAAAAATTAATGGGAATATTTTCAAACCTTTGGAAAACTTCGGATTTGATATTTGGCAGGAGGGCTAAGAGGTTGGTTAAAGAAAAAAGTGCAAACGCTTAGAACGTTCCTGAAGATCGAGCTCGCGTCCAATTTACTCCGTTCTCTTTTCACACTGGAGCTAGCAAGGTTGCATTTTTTTTTTTTCCTGCTAACAACTCTCCCTTTATTCTATGGAATGTTTAATTTGCCCTTTGAAAGAAAGTATGATTTGTTCCATTTTTCCATGTGCAATTTCTATGCTATTTACAGACTAAGATAAGAATCAAGAAAGATTCATGTGCCAACAGCACAAATTCAAGGCAGAGAGAGGAAATCAGAGTCCTAAGCCCCAACTTGGAACGTCTTCCTAGCTGATTGTAGTTACAGAGCCTTCCCCCGCTCCACGCACTCTTCAGAGGCGGTGATACACTATGTGCTAACAGGGACGATTATCCCAAGCAGCCATTGAATCAAAGCGCAGTCTAAACCAAAATCAAAGAGTGTGTTTGGCGCTGCATCACAACTTCTAGAGGATGTGCTGAACAAAGCAACCAAAAACTTAAAAAAAAAAAAAAAAAAGCATAGTGTTAGTCTAGCCAACCCTTATACCTAACAGAGGAGAGTATGCTTTGTAAGTGCAACATACAAAGGACCTAAGTTGAAACTAATCCTTCTGATAAAACAGATCATATTTAACTAGTCTCTCCTCTCTCTCTCTCTCCCCTCCTCTGTTTTAATGGAAGTACCAAGGGCTGGGCATGTGTGCACCGTGGTAGAACACTTGCCCAGCAAGTACCAGGCCCTGGGTTTGATCCCCAGCACCACAAAAAAATAAATACATACATAAATAAATAAGATAAATGGATGTAGACTAAAAACACTCAAGCTTGTAACCAAAACCAAAGTGATAAGCAAAGTAAGCAAGTTAGGAGCAAAACCAGTTAAATGTGATTTTAAAGCATCATTGTGTTAAGCCGAACTCCTACTGGGCCCTGTTTAGGTGAGCGTTGCCTTTTTCCTCTCTCCCTTCCTATCTCAGCTATGGGCTGTCTCCTGGATTTTCCCCATCCGGAATGATTTGCTTTCTATTGCAATCTGTTCTCAGCTGTCTGACCCAGCACAAGTGCCCACGGAGCTCACTCCTAACCGACCACCCCACTCCCCCAGCCACTTTTCACTCTGAGCATGTATGGATCTAATCAGTTCTTCATAGCACAGAGAAACTGCTTCTCATCTTCTCAGACAAGCATGTTAATTGCCATTACACTCACAGGCAGAATGTGAGTTTGCTTTTTTCCCCTGCTCAGTACCTCCGCCTCCATGCAACATGAACTACAACCTCCACCTCACAGAAGCAAGTACAGGGCCCCCTTCTCTAAACAGTGCACATTCCTTCAAACAAACAAACAAAACCCACAGCTTCAACACACATGCACACCCATATTGATGAATTTAATGCATTATATTAGCCTGATGAGTTAAAGAACGAGGTGGTAAAAGGGACTGGAAGATATTAGAGGCTGGGGGTGCGATTCAGTGGTGGAGCATACAAGAGACCCTGGGTTTGATCCCAAGCACTGGAAAAATAAAGAAGGTAGAGAGAGAAGACAAGGAGGGAAGGACAGGAGAGCGGAAGGGAAGAAAGGGAGGAGGGAGGGAGAGAAGAAGGAAGGGGGAAATATTAGCTAGAGCCTTGGATGTGGGAGGACAGAAT